TTCAGGGTCGTGTTGATGTTTATGAATGTAGTGTATATGAAAAATAATACTGGGAACACAAGTAGCAAGTTTTTCTGAAATCCTTCTTGGGAAGGTGGAGGATTTCTGTCATGATGCAAAGTTTGCAAAAGCTTAATGCATTTGATGAAAAATCCTTTTTATTTTCTAGACAGGTGCCAACTTCATCATGTTAGCTCCTGAAAGACGTGGGATACTCTCAAGAGACATTAAACAGAAGCTGGATTTTTTGAGATGCTTGAATAGCAGGAGAGACTAAAAAGGAATACTCTTTCTATTCCATTCCATGATCCATGTTTTGAGAGCCCTGGAGGACTGACACCCAAAGTGGCACTGTCCAGATGAAGTTTTCCTTTAGGCTAAAGCACATGTCCAAGGCCAGCAACTTTTCTAAGGGGCTGCATGGATTTTGTTGACCTTTAAACTGGTGTCACTGCCCAGCTTTCTTAGAAGCATGTTTTATTTTGGGAAAGAAGTAAGGATTAGAAGCTTTCCATGGAAAAGCCAAAGGTCCATAATAGCCCTATTTATGGAAAGATTACCAAAGCCATCCAATGCCATCATAGCTAAGAAGAACAAGAAGAATTTCTAGTCTACAAGAATGTATAATCTAATCCCCCTGTGGATTTATAATTTCTTTATCCTAAACATGCATTGGCATTAAGACAGGTTGTAATCAGATACACTGCTGAACATTCCGTGGACCTATTGTAAGTTTTTTATAGGGTCTTTGAAAGAATACACTCAAGGCTGTACATCTGCTGCTGCAAATGAATCTCTTGGTTCATGCAGTGATGCTGCAGCAGAAAGCTGGTGGCTTCAGGGGCACAGGAAGGAGGAGGACTGGTGAATTGAGGGCAGCTCTACTAGGTATTATCCATGGACAAGCAATGGCAGTTTACATTTCTAGAACTCTGTCTTCCTACTTCAAGTATTTCAGTCAGCTGTGTCAACACTGGACTCAGATAAAGGAAATCCATTTGTCCAGGCTGATGAAAGATCCCGGGAAAGAGAAACCTGGTGAGACCATGGTCTGACAGAGATAAAGCTTCCTGTGAACAGAAATAAGAGGCGTTCCTGAGATTAGTCCTTTTACATCTCACAGAGCTTGGTGATGGAGGCACCATTGGTTCTCTCTCTTCCCAAATGTCCTGTGCCTGTGAGGTGCTTCTGGAAAGGCACACCTGAGACCTAGGAACACCAGCTTCTCAGTTGCTGGGGGACAGGAGAGTGGTGAAGCTCTGTGCATCTTCTAGTCTTTGCATCTGTAATTGATATTCAGAGAAAGGCTGCTGGCTTACAATGTTCCTATGCAGGAGTCTTCAAAGTGGGTAGCATGCACCCCTGGGCGTGAGCAAGATGATGCACTGAAGCGTGGGAAGGGTGCATTAGAACTTTAGTGTTATATGTATATAATTATCAACTACTAAATATACATGTACTGGAGGTGCTTGTTTAAAAATATTTTACTGATGGGGTGCACAATGAAACATGTTTGGAGACCACTGTTCTACTACTTTCAACAAATACCTACAGATACCTTAAATTTGGTTTCTTACATTCTGCTGTAACAGTGTCCAACAGTGTCTATTTCTGCATTGCCTTCATGTCATCACTAATTTCTTCGCTACCCTGCAGTAATTCTGGTTTTTACTAATTTTTTGGGCTGTGAAGAAGGAAAGTTATGACTTCTTTCAGAGTGTCTAAGCTCACAACTAGGAAAGGGTACTAGATGACTGTGGCCAAAGGCACTGAGGGAACATCAAAGTAAGAAGAGAGCATGGTGCTGGGAAGAAGGTCGGAAAATCATAAGAACAGGGTTCTCCACATGGAGCCAAATGTGGACATAAAGCATCCACCTCTGAGGCAGGAAACAGACTGTGTCCCAGGAATTTTCAGCAAATGGCTGGATCAGAAAGGAAGGGCCCTGAAAGGACATAGCAGATGGGGGAGATTAGATTTGAAAGTATTTCTTAAATCCATTTTACCCAGCACATGATCTGTAAGAGAGCAGCATGAAGAACCTTCCCTGAATGGTCTGCGTACCTCAAGCTTGTGTGAACTGGGCCACTATTGGGCAATTTTACCATCTCCAAACCTAGAAGCTGCCTCTTTGCTGTAAGAATGCAGGATGGAAAGTTTGGGAAACAAAAAGGAAGGCAAAGAAGAACCAGGAAAATAGTAAAGGTGATGAGGTGAAAAGTCAGAAGGTCGAAAAACTTGGGAAGAAGTTTAGAAGTGGTAACCAGCAAAGCTGACACAGTGAAATAGAATGGATGAGGAAGAGGAACTTGCACCAAGCAAGCAGACACAGCTGCTTCCATTAGAAATGGAATTAGAATGGATTGGTTGGGGATGAGAGGTGGGAAAGGAGCAGCATGGGTCTGGCTGGTCAAGAGATCTGTGATGACAAGCCTGAAGAGGAAGGATTTCTCTCAGAATTGTCTGCAAAGAGTTGGCCCTGGAGAAACTTTCTGTACTGGTAGAGGCTACTGAAAGAAACTGGCCTGAGATGCCTTAAATCTGCTACTAGTAAAGAGACATCTGATGCTCATAGTCACCATTGACCCAGATATAGTCCTAGTCCTGGCCATAAGCACTAAGCTTATATGTATCTCTGAAAATGGGTTGCCAGTGCCTTCCTTGTATTGCAACAGGCATTTTTCTCTATCATTTGGAACAGGAGAGCCAGTCTTTGCTTGATGGTCTATTTCATGACACTAGTTTCCAAATCCAGCACAGATCCCTGCTAAGCCAGTACTTGCTGTTTCCAGTTTATATTAAACACCCTTCAGTAGAAATCTTTTCCTTGTTCCTTTGGTTCTCTTCCGTGCAGTCAGGGTACCTCTGCCCTTTCCTCATTTTCACATCTATTCTATGATCTCTTTTTCCATTAAGGAGGAGATGAGGTTCACTGGTAGGCTGGGTTGAATATGGTGGCCTGAGAGGAGGCTGCCATGGCTCCATGTCCCCTGGCCCAACCAGTAGCAAGGCTGAGAATGTATCCCGAGTAGACACGCATATATACAAAGCATATACATGTACACAAAGCCGAACACACAGATCAACAGAGATGCACTCAGCCACCCACAAACAGAATCAGCACTAATCACCTTATCTTTCATCCCCCTCTGGCTGGGGTGTATAGTGGGAAATAAGGGTTCTAGGTAAGGATTCAGTAGCGGGAAATAGATGTATACGTATGTACAATGTGCAAATTTTCCATGGGTTTCCATATTTGGACATTGAGTCCAGTAGATGCCCCTGGATCCCAGTCACCACATGTGCCAGCACCCAGACCCGTGAGCCCCCAAGTCCTGCAGTTGCTGGTATGCACATGCACACACAAACCTCCCACACAGCCCCCTCTCCAGGAGATGCCTGGGACTCCCCTGCTCCACCTGCCACTGCTCTTGCCATTAGAGACATACACCTGGAACCCAGGTCACCTCACTCACTTTACAGATTGTCTGGCTTTGTGTTCACTAGTGATCACACACTCACAGGCTGTCCCTCACCCCTGCTGCCAGCATGATGAACAACTGGTACCTCTTACTGGTCGGTGGCCCTAATCCAGCTTCTGGTGCTTAAGTTCACTCACTCTGGTCTCTCCAGTTACTGGTACCTGTGGTAATAGACAGTCCCACCCTCAAGTAAATACTTAGAAATGGGACTTAATAAGACATGGATATGCTGAGCTAAGCAGGTACAAAGCATAGCCAGACAAGCATATTCACCAGCATCCTGCTTACCTGTGTGACCCCTTTCATAACTATATTTCTCTATTTCCCTGCATTTATTCTTCCTCAAATACAGTAGTTCTGCGTCTTACTTGGGAAGTCTGAACACACTTCCCTTTATCTTGGTAAATTTTGTTTTCCCTTGTTTCTTCTTTAATCTTAAAAGAAAATAGACTGAAAGAATTAAATGTTTGGAACTGAAAAAGAAAAGAGCTGTCAATCTTGCTGCTCTTCAGAAAGCAACATGTTAGGCAATTCCAGAGACACACACTAGAGGTCCTGAGTTGTATCCTCCAAATACTTTCTTCTTTTGGAGAGTCTGCAATCATCTGTTGTTTCCTGAGACAAAAAAAGTTATTCTAAGTAAAAATCTTCATCTGCTAACTGATGTACTGACTCTGAAAACAGCATAAACATTAAAAGAAAAATGTAAAAGATATGGCAGGTAATTAAAAACAAATCTATATGGTCTACAATTCCTTGAAAAATCACTGAAACTGTAATATATCCAGACAGGGCTCAGTCTCACTGGAGAACAGGTAATTTATCCTGAGAAAACCCACAGTGGCAAGAACTGGCAGGGACTGCACAGGAGCAATGGTCGAACCCCTACTTCAGAGATGCTAAGTGTCCGTGATACTGGAGATCATACAAAACTTTCATACATGATATAAAATGTATTTTCTTTCCCATCTGGGAAGAAGCTATAGCTTCTTGGGCAATTTCTGTTAACACCTTAAAAAAGCAGGATTAAAAAAGTGAGACAGGGAACATTCACTACCAAATTTTTGAGATTCACACTGCTCTGAATCCTCGTGTGATGCTAGGAACTCAACCTTAGGCCCCGAAAAAGTACAGTACTGCCAGGATCACAGGCAGAACATGCCTCTTCTACAATTAAATAGAGGTAAAGGGAAGATATAAATCTCTCTAGAGCTTCAGGCAAGTATGGGAGGGGGGATATCAATAAAGTGCGAAGGATTACTAAAGATCATTGGAATTAAATCTGTGTGTAAAACACTGATTTCTTGTGAAAAGACTAAAGCAAAACTTAAGAGTCACATGAATAGTTAGTTTTGCTTTTAATAATTTATCAAAGAAAGTATGAAAGTTGGACAGTCCTTTCTCTCTTCTCTGCCCAAGGTTGACAGAAAAATCAGAGGAAGGGGAGGGGTATCAGTCTCTCTTGTCTCTAGGCTCACAGTGAGCAGGAACACTTTGTCCTGGGACAGCTGAAGGGCCATGCTGACTGTTTTGGTTGCTCTTTTACCTGGTAAGAGACCACAGATCCACCTGCAGCACAGCTCTCATCCAGGCCATGCCGGGCTGTTGTTAGGTAAAGGACCCTTCTAGTTACCATCTGTACTCCTACTCCTCAGTTTGTCTTTTTCTCTCTCATTAATACAGGTGTTGTGATCGGATACATCTTCATTGCACAGCGGCCAGAAGAAATCTTTCAGAGAGTTGGAGACACTGTGAACATCTCCTGCAACCAGAAAAACAGTGACCTTGCCTTTATGTTCTGGTACCAGCAGCCTCCAAGAAATGGTCTGAAGTTAATAGTCAGTACTACTTCATTGAGGGAGAAATTTTATGAGGACGGTTATAGTGAGGCCAAGTTTGAGATAAGCAGAAAGTATACTTACACTGTGATGACAATCAAGAATGTGACATCCAAGGATGTAGCCACGTATTTCTGTGCCGCGAGTGATCACACAGTACAGAGAGAAGGTTGAGCACTAAGATAAAATCCCCACCCTGACTGAGAGAGGAGTAGAATCTCTAAAAAAATGTGAGGCAGTTAGGAGAGGGGCAGAGGAAGAGCAGAAAAAAAGACAAGGAAGATGTTGGAGAAATAGACCCAGAACACTTTGGAGGGGAGAGAGACAAAGCAGTGCAGTAGCCTTTAGCTTCAAAGACAAAAAACCTTCAGAAATACAAACCTATAGATCAACATTAAGAATTGAGGCACTGCTGATGTGGTTAGTGAAAGGCGGCATGTATTTCTTAAAATTAGTGCTGCAGTAGCACACTCATGTTCTGAGCCAATAGTTCCTCACAGATACCGCCATAGCACAAAGGAAAGAGTACAAAGGAGATGGAGAATTCAAAGTTCTTCCACATACTGATGATGCACACAAAACTGAGGTACCCAAACAGAAATTGATTGATGTGGGAGGAGAGCCAAGCCCCTAATTATGGACATAGGAGGATGTCAGCGGTGCCAGTGGGGGAAAATGTACCCAGGGGACCAAGCATACCTCCCATTGTGGAAGGGACAGCCCTTTGGCATCTTTAAAAACAACAGTGTGCACTGCAGCATTTTATTACCTGCTTCACCAACTGCTTAAGTGCAGGATCCCTCCCTTCCTTGCATACAGTTCTGAGCTGGACCAAGGCATCTGTTCATGGCAAAACCTCATTGGCAGAGAAAAGAAACCACAGAAAGCTGCCATCACGTGGTGCTCCTCTTGAGAGGAACAGCTGAAGGCAGAAATTTCCTTCCATTGTGCTTCTCTCTCCATTGCTTGCAGAGACAAACTTTTGATGAACTAGTTGCTCTTCTGTAATGGACCTGGGAAAACTGAAGGCAGAGTTTTATTACGGTTCCCTTATCTGTCACTCTCTGTCCATGCTCCTATTTTTATTGCATAACCTGGAACTTACCTCTTCTTCAAAGGGAGGGAAATGGCACATGAAAGAACAAAAGGTATTTTTAAGGAAGTATGGCTATACACTTATGTGCTTTAGGTTTCTGTTTTTAGGCTGTGGCTTTGACATCTGCATACCATTGATGAAAACCCAATTGTCTCATATGCTCATGTGGAGGGCATTGCATATCAAGCATTTAATTAACACAGATAGCAAATGTACTGTGCTGCTCATTGATATGGCAAAGCTGGTATGCTGAAGTGAAACACACTGCGTGATTATTGCAAAAAAAAAAAAAAAGAGAGAGATGATAAGAGCTGGTGAAAGCAAGGAGCTGGAGCCAGATCTGAGCACTTCCTGTAAAAGACCCTCATGCTCCATTTCACCAGCACTGCTAGGAGACTTTTGTACTGCCAGGATGGATCTCTCAATTTCATGCCAGGATCCTAGTCTCCTGATCAACCATGCTACAGAAATGTTACTTTGCTTCCAGGCTCTCCTCTGAAAGCAAGTAACCTGTTCTGGGCTAAGAAAATCCAGACCCATGACAGAAACTCATGCTCATTGTAGTCTCACCCTACACACAGAGGAGGCTCTGAAGAGGTTAAATCTAGTTGCATACCAGACTTACTCCAGTCCTCCAAAAACATTTCTGAAAGCCTCAGCTTCATATACCACCCCATGCACACCCTTGTAGTCAATATTCTTCTGACTTCAGGAGCTGCTCAGCAAATGTAACACACAGTTCCTTGCTCCCAGGGAGCACTTGTCCGCTCCTCAGAGCACCCTCAGGTCCATGATCTCCTCACTGTTCATATCAGGCTGCAGACATATAGCAAAGAAGCACTGAGAACACATTGTCTGTCACATAGCAGAGCTCCTTATCCTCTTCAGCCTCTGATCATTTTTATACAAGTATGAAACATATTCACACTATTGCTGTCTGAAATTATTACTGGCGATTCAAATGCCCTGTGAAAGTTTTTTGGAAAATAGTTCATGCTGGAATCACGAAGGAATATAAACACTATGGTGGTGACTTTGGGGTGATTTTTCTTTTAGATTCTTTTTTAAAATACTCTTTTACTAAACTACCAGTTCCTGAAAACCATGTTATAGTCTTAGTTCAGACCTTTTTCATAAGCACTGCAAACCAACTTTTTCAACTCTGGTAATGTAACAAAGGAAGGATCCCTTTCTCAACTCTTGAGCACTTTTAATTTAGCATGGCAAATGCAGTTTTAAGGCCTTGGCATAACAAATTTATCAGTGGCCTTCAACATACAGCAGTTTAATGAGCTGGCTATTGACTGGTCACAGCTGTGCAACTTCCAGGCAGTAGCAGAAAACCACAAAGATCTCTGTGTTCATTGCTATCTTGAAGTTCTGCGGTTACAGTTCCCTCTTCCAGCTCTAAGGTACAATTTGCTCCTATGCAGTACTTTTGTCAGCTTGAAATGGCTCTGCACAAAAAGCAGCTATTCTAATAAGTTTCTTGTGAAACAGCTACTTTCCTCCTCATCCCACTCTCTGTAATCATATTTATTCAGATTATTAATCAGATCCCTTCTTTCACCATCTTATATTCTCAGTGCAGACATGCCCTGAAAAAAGGCTGTTGCTTAACTTTAGGGGTTTGTGGTCAAAAGCCCTGACTGTTTATGAAAATCTTCCTAGTGTCTCTAAAAGAAATCTGTAAATCTCCCGTAGTCTCTGTTAGTAGGGCCTACTTCTTTGTAGCTGCTGCTTCTGTAAACTCTAAAGAACTGAAGACTGGTGTAAGTGATGCAATCACTGTGTTCTTGTGAAATTCTCCCACTAAAATGAAAAAATTGTTAGAAAGTATCCCCCTAGATGTCTCTTTCTTACATATTCTTGTCTTTCCTTGTCTGAAGCCTTACACAGCATGGCCCATGAGCCTCTTATGAAAGACATGGAAATGAAAATCAAGGAACTGTCTTTCCTTTCTTTCCTCGCTCTCACTCATTTGAATTCATGGCCTGAAAGGCCTTTGCTTTTGGAAGGTTACAGAGGAACATTAAAGTGGGACAAGGCTGGTCTCTGCTGGCATGTCTTGGAAATTGCCTAATGAACATGACCTGAGGAGCTGTTAGCACCACATACTCCTTCAAAACTAATAGACAGGTGATTTCCTTCTTTTTAAATCAGGGACACGTGTGAGATAGAGTCTGTTAGTGACAGTGAGGACACTAATGGAGCAGTAGACTGGACATGAAGACAGAATGGGTTTAGACCCTGAATAAATAGTGTTGAGATCAGAGCAGACTAAGAGCAAGGCAGGCAAATAATATCCCACTATTAGTGTTATTATTTAAGCAGTGACAGACAAATACAATCCTAAATATATTTTTTAAAAGAATTCAACATAAACAGACAAATACCTTTGTCACTTCCATAATTAGTGACTTAAGCACCCATTTTCCTGTGATAGAAGAGAGAATAACCTAGGGGCATTCCAAGATGACTAGTCCAATACCTTGCCTTCCATAGTCCTATGTCTTGGTCCTAAATGTTTCAGCTTAGTCTATGTTTTTTGTTCCTTTCCCTGGGACGCTGACAACTGTTCCCAGCTGAACAGGCTGTATCAGAAATTATGGGTTTTTCTGTGATATCTGAAAAGATCAGAAAATAATTTGTGATTTTCCTAGTAGAATAATCTTGTTTTGAATTATTGTGTCCTGTAAATAGGCTTTACAGTCTATTTTTTGTATCAGAGAGACTCAAGTGAAGCTATTAAAGAGCAATATGAACAACGTTTACTACAACTACGTGTTAACGTTTTGTGTGAGAAGATTGGGCCATTTTTGTGTTAGGGAGGGAGACAAAAGTAGCCAGTTAACTGTCACCATCAGTTCCCACACCCTTCAGACAGTCTGCAAAATTAAGGCTCACTCTTACACCCAGACGAAGCCTTTTCAGAGGAAGAATCACAGGCTCTGGGAGGAGCTTGTGCTTCTGCTTCCTGTATAAGGGCAATCAGAGGAACACAAGTTTAAGAGCTCAGCATCCTAGTCCTCTCCCTTTCAGAGCAGCTGTGACAAGTGCAGCACAGACCACAGAGGATGCTCTCAATCAAGACCAGGCTACAAACAAAAACACCAGCCTGTAGTAAGCAAACCACTCTCATTGCAGAGCAGTTATTGTGGGTCTGAAGTCTCTTTGTCCCCCTGGGGCAAGAAGAGAGCAAGAGTGGAAAGGAAAGCAGCATGAACATTGTCATGATGTTACCAAGTGAAAAATAACTGCATTTAAAACAAATCCATAAAAGAAAATAAAGTATTACCTTTTTGACTATAAGAAAAAAGTTGGGATTTTAAATTCAGGGATAAAGGATACACTAAGAGGTAATTGGACTATCACACAGAAACAGCAGTGGCAAAGGAAGGATGTGGCCTGTGGTTCTGTCATGGTTTAACCCCAGCCAGTAACTAAGCACCACACAGCTGGTTGTTCACTCCCCCACCATCAGGACCAGGAAGAGAATTGGAAGAGTAGAAGTAAAAAATTCGTGGATTGAGATAAAGCGAGTTTAATAGGTAAAGCAAAAGCCGTGCACACAAGGAAAACAAAAGAAGGCATTCATTCATCACTTCCCATGGTCAAGGAGGTGTTCAGTCATTCCTAGGACAGCAGGACTCCACCATGCATAACCATGACTTGGGACAACAAAGGCCATCACTCCAATCATCCCCCTCTTCCTTCTTATTCTTCCCCCACCTCGCTTTATATACTCAGTATGACACCCTATGATACGGAACATCCCTTGGATCAGCTGGAGTCAGCTGTCCCCACTGTCTCTCCTCCCAGCTTCCCATGCACTCCCAGCCTCCTTGACAGAGTGGCAATATAAGAAGCAGAAAAGGACTTGAATTTTGTGTTTGCACTGCTCAGCAACAACAAAAACATTTCCATCTTATCAACAGTGCTTCTGGCACAAATCCAAAACACAACCCCGCACTAGCCACCGTGAAAAAATTTAACTCCACCTCGGTTAAAACCAGCACTAGTTCTTATGGCAATCTTTCATGGTGACTGATTGACAAAAATGGGAGGGTGGAGTCAT